TAGAGATTTATTTCTTACAGTTCTGGAGGCTGGGAAGTCCAAGATCATGTGGCCACATCTGGTGAGGGCCTTCTTGCTGCATCATCCCATGGTGGAAGGTGAAAGGGCCAGAGAGAGTGTGCTTATGTGTGTGCCTGTGCATGCGAATGTGGGAGCCAAACTTATCCTTTTATCAGGAACTATTTTCTGAGTTAACTAAACCATTCCATCAATAATGCCATTAATTCATTCATGAGGGCAGAAGCCTTAGAGGTAGAGCCCTCATGACCTAATCACCTCTTAAAGTTCCCACCTCTCAATGCTGTTGCACTGGAGATGAAGTTCCAACACATGAACTTTGGAGGATGCATTCAAACCATACCATGGAGTTTTACATCTTTAAAATGGATTGCTTTGATTGATTTTCATATGTTGAACCAGCCTTGTATTCCTGGGATAAACCATGCTTTCTTGTGGTATATTAATTATCTATTTTATATATAGCCAAATTTCATTTGCATTTTTTTAGGATTCTTATGTTTATGTTCATGAGGGATATCGATTTGTAGTTTCTTTTTTTGTACCACTTATTTTTCTGGTTTTTATATCAGGGAAATGCTGGCCTCACAGAGTAAGTTGATATGTATTTCCCTGTCTTCTAACTTCATAGAGTGATTGTATAGAATTGATGCTATTTCTTCTTTAAATGAATGGTAAAATTTGCCATTGAGACTGTCTGGACCTGGGTATTTTGGGGGAAGATTTTTAATTGCAAATTCAATTTCAGTAATATTTATAGAAGGATTTAGATTATTTGGATTATTTGTTACATTTTGGATAAGTTTTGCCAGTTTGTGCTTTTTGAGAAATTTGTTTCATCTATGTTGTCAAATTTATGTGTTTAGAATTGCTATTACATACTCTTGTCATTGTAATACCTATGAAATTTCTATCTACTCTTTCATTCCTGAGTTTTTATTTCAGCTATTATATTTTTAGTTCAAAATATCCATGTGATTCTTATTTATATCTTCTGTTTCTTCACTGAGTGCTTCTGTTTTAAATATTTGTTCCAAAATCGCTTGTTATTGTTCATTCAAGCATTTATAATAGCTAATTTAAGATAATTTAATGTCTTATCTCATCATTCATGTCTGTTGTCTTTTTCCATGTTAATTGAAATGTTTATGGTTATTTGCATGCTGATTGATTGTAGTTTGTATCCTGGACATTGTGAGTATTGTCTTGAGATTCTGTATCTTGTTTATATCCTGTGGAGAAGGTCTATATTTTTGTTTTAGCCTTTTGTATATTTTGGTTCCAAAATCAATTCAGTTTTCAAACCTTTTGCAGTACCATATAGGTCTGTCCTGCATGTGTACCATCTAGTGGTCAGTCTGAGACTTGGGTGGAGGTGTCCTTTCTAGTTGAGTTTCCAAATCTTTGGTATGCTAATGAATATCAAAGCAGTCACAAGTCAGAGGTAAGCCCAGGGGTTCAAATCAACTTTACACTGTTGCTTTTTCAAAACTCTTCCCTCTCCTTTATCTTTTCAGTACTTTCCAGTTCCCTGGGCTCTCATTTTCTGTTTTCTCTTCAAAAACTACCCACTGTCATGGTTGTAGCATTTCCAGAAACAAGTAGCAGGAGGAGAGAGTGAGAACGAGAGAGGGAGAGGGAGAGGAAGAGGGAAAACTAGTATAAAGATGTCTTCTTGACATCGTGGCTTCACCTAGAGGAAGGAACTTATCCCACACAGTTTTGATTCCTGGAGGCTCCCATTCTGGGCCACTATTGCTTCTGAGCCACCTTTGCTTTTACTACCTCCACTGTGGAACCAAAGGAGGAGTAAATAAAAACCCAAGGGATTTCCCCCACTCTCTCTGAATTTTAGTTCTCTGTTACATTCCTTGAGCCCAAACTCCAAGACTTCTCCTGCATCTCTGTCTGCTAGACAATGCTCATTTTGAATTGCATACCATGTTGAATTCAGGCTCAGGATACTGAATGGGGAGAAAAGTAATGCTGAATTTGCAGTTGTTTAGTTGGTACTTCAAACTCTGGTGTTTTCTCTGATCTACCTACTTAGATTTACCTTTCAATTTTCATATAGTTGTTCATGCATTCTATCAGAATTTTATATTTGAGTTAGCGAGAGATAAAAGGTCTGAGAATTGGACCCAACTATATATGTTTTGTAAACGGCATGTAGTTGGATCCTACTTTTTAATCTAATCTGACCACTTCCGTCTTTAGTTGGAATATTTAGTTGATTCACATTTAAAGTGATTATCAATATAGTTAGATTAAAATCTACCATCTTTCTGTTTTCATTATATTTGTTCTTGATGTTTTCTATTTACTGTATTTGGCTTTTGTTTCCTTTTTCCCTCTTTTTTCTGCCTTTCATTATTTTATTTGGTCATTTTGTATGATCCCATTTTGTCTCATGTAGTTATTTATTATTTAGACATCTTTTAAGGAAACCTTTTTAGTGGTTTCCGGAAAGTTTGTAATGTACATTTTTATATAATTTGGTTCACCTTTAAATAATACTGTACTGCTTCATGTGTAGTATAAGACTATCCCCAATTCCTTCCTTCCATTGTTTGTGTCATTGTTGTATTCTACTATTTTTTTTACAAATGCTATAAACATACAATACATTGGTACTATTATTGCTTTAAACAATCAGTTATATTTTAGAACAATTAAGAATATGATAGTTATATTTGTCTTCATTTATTACTTTTGCAACACATTTCCTTTAATTATGTACACCCAATTTTCTGACCTATATCATATCCCTCTGTTGGAAGAATTTCCTTTAATATTTAGACTGTAAAACAGGTCTGCTGATGCTGAGTTTCCTCAGTTTTTGTCCGAAAAAGCATTTTGTCTTAATTTTTGAAGGATATTTTTGCAGAACTTGGAATTCTGGATTGGCATTTTTTTCTTTCAACACTTATAAAGGTTTCATTCCACTGTCTTTTTGCTTATGTGATTTCTGACAAGAAGTCTGGTATAATTCTTCTCTTTGTTCTTCTGTGGGTAAGATGTTCCCCACCTACCGCCTTCTTCCTGGCAGTCTTCAAGATTTTATTTTTGTCTTGATTTTCTGTAATTTGAATTTGTTATATCTGGGTGTGGGTTTTGGTTTGGTTTTGGTATTTACCCTGGTTGGTGTTCTCTGAGCTTCTTGAATCTGTGGTTTGGTGTCAGTCATTAATTTGGAAAATTTTGGCCATTATTGTCTTCACATATTTCTTCTGCCTTATTCTTTCTTCCCCTTCTTGTGTTCCAAATACATATATGTTATACTGTTTGATATTGTCCCACAGTTCTTGGATGTTTTGTTCTGTTTTCTTTTTTTTTTTTTTTTGCTCTTTTTTTTTCTCTTTGCATTTCAGTTTGTGTGATCTCTATTGACCTGTCTTCAAGTTCACTGATGACTCAGCTGTGCAGAGTCTACTGATGAGCACATCAAGGATAGTCTTCAGATCTGTTACTGTGTTTTTTTCTCTCCCATTTATATTTGATTCTTTCTTATACTTTTCACCCCCCTGCCGAAATTACCTATCTGATCTTGCATGAAAAACTTTCCCAACAGAGCCTTTAACATACTAATCATAGCTATTTTAAGTTTCCTATCTGATAAAGATGGAAACAGTAGACAAAGGGAATTCGAAAAGGGGGAATGGGCAGGGGGGAGCAAGAGTTGAAAAACTACCTGTTGGGTACTGTGTTCGCTATTTGGGTAATGGGGTCACTAGAAGCCCAAACCCCACCATTACACAATATACCCAGGTAACAAACCTGCACATATAACCCCTGAATCTGTAATGTACAAAAAAGAAAGCAAAATAATCCAAGTAAATAAACAGATTCCTTGTCTGATATTTCCAACATCTGTGTCATAACTTATTTTGATCCTAATGATTGCTTTTCTCTTCAGACATTGTTTTTATTCCTTGCCTTGATTCTTCCCTTTGTGCTACACCCTGGAGATAATATATGCCTTAAATCTCGTATAGATGTATTCCACTGTTATTTTTACTGATGCTTTTTAGCCTGGTAGTGGGGGAATGGGGACCTGGGACATTCTATGCTATTCTCATTAAGTCTCAGTCTTAGGCAGGCTTACCCTGAGTGTTGGAGGTGTGTCCTTCACAAGTGTACCTGCCTCTCCTCCTTTGTTCTAACCGAGGTGGGCCTAGCACATTTTCCTGCCCCTCCCGGGTTAGACTTTTTTTTTTTTTTTTTTTCAATTTTCTCCCCCAGCTGTAGTGAGTTTTCACCAGCGTACCTCAGTTTCTGTTGCCCTTTCTTCTGAGGACTAAGACATTTTTCCCTTTGGGAAGATAAGGTAGATTGGTATGGGCAGAGTTTCAGTGATGTTGGTCAGTCTGCTCTGCTAGCTGCAGTGAGTTTCTCCCAGTACTTTCAAGCTAGTTTTTGTTGCCTTTTCCCTGAATAGTAAGGCTTTTGCTCCATAGATAATATAGGGAAAATAGTCTGTGCAGAATTTCAGCAATGGCTATTGTACTGTTCTCCCCAAACCAGAACTACAGGATATCTTTCTCAGGATTCTTCTGTCTTTCTTGTCAGCTTCTGGGGGAGTTCCTGGAGGAAAACTCTGCAAAGGGGTGCAAAACTGCCTATGTCTGCAGCCCCTACAGGCTTCACATTCTCACACTAGCCCATAACCAGCCTCTAGCAATTCATCATAATTTTTAGCTGAATATTCTTATGAGTTTGTATGTTGTTCACTGGTATCTGCACCAGGTAAGCAAATGCCTGGTCCTGTGGCTCCCTTGAAGATGGTTGTTTCTACAGGTTTGTGGTACTGCAACCTCAGTTTTCTGACGAGTCCGAGAGAAGTTCTTAATTTTCATTTTCCCAGCTTTGGTTCTTATTGTAATGGTGGGAGATGTGTTCTTTACAACTCTACATTTCTGACCTAATACCAGAAGAGCATATGAATCTGAGGATAAGCTTTTGAGGGTCTGTTTGTCTTTCAGCATCCATACCCCAGTTTACCAATTCCCCCACGATGGTGATCATGGTGGGTTTACCAGCTCGAGGCAAGACTTATATCTCCACGAAGCTCACACGATATCTCAACTGGATAGGAACACCAACTAAAGGTATGTCTCTGAAAGTCTTTGTTCAACAACCCCATAAAAGCCACTGGCTGAAAACCTTACTTAAGTAGAAGGCCAAAGTCCTCAATACCAGAAATGCCTCATCATTATTATTATCAGCATTAGGACTACTGCTATCACTATTACTACATTCTTATACAGTTTATAACTTCTTGAGCACATACTTTGTACCCAACACCACTCTAGGTGCTAAGCATAGGAAAACTAGTGTTAAGATTAAATGTCTTCTCTCAAGAAGTTCCATGACCTCGAAACAACCCTGTGAGTAACATTCTATTTTTATTGCCATTACTAGTATTGCCATACCAATATTACTACTTTTATTAGCGTTACCACTTCTTCACCATTTCATAGTTGAGGAAATTGAGGCCCAAGGGGTGAAGTGCCTTGTCTAAAGGCATATGGCCAGTAAGTGACAGAACCAGGATATGAACCCAGGTCTATTTGATTCTAAGCCTGATACTGTGCCAAGTCTAGTGCATGGTTCTACTGATTGGAAGACAAAAGAAACCCACATTAGCCCTATAGTCTCCTTTTCTCCATTCTTTTTGTCTCCTTCTTTCTCTTGTTAATCTCAACATCCTGTCTCTCTGCCCTGCTTCCTTCTATCTCTCCCTCTTCCTTCCTCTCCCCAATTTGTTTCTTTTTCCCATTTCTTATTTCCATTCATCTATGTTCTCTTTATCTAATTCACTGGTGAAGAGTTTCCCAATAGTTTTCCATGTGCCCAAACTCCTGCTAGGCAATGAGGATACAAAACTGGATGAGACTCACCCTGTCCTTGAGGAGTTCTAAGTCTAGCTGGGATGTATAAGAATACCTCATATCATCTAGGAATTCTAGAACAGGAGCAGGGTGCTGCATGAAATCACAAAGGGATTTGACAACTGGAAGGCAAGGAAAGCTTCCTACATAGGATATGTTTGAGCTGAGTCTTGTGGGAGGAATAAGACATTGGCAGAAGGGAAGGAGAGAAGGAACAGCTCTCATGGAGGACTGCAAGCTCTCAGGAAAATCTGCTGAGTGTAGAGGTACATGGGACACTGGCAGATTGGTTTCTGCCTTAAGGGCCCCATAATGGGTTCAGGGTTTCTGATTCCCCTGCTTTCTATCTTCTTCACTCCATTCAATTCTCTCAAAGGCCTCCAGAGTTATATTTCAAAGCACAAAGCTGAACATGCCTGTGACCTCCAAAGGTCCCCTTGGCCTGCAGGTTTAAATCCATAGTGGATGACTCACCATCCTCCAAACGTGCTCTTCCTTCTGCCAATGCCATACTCTTGCTCAAACTGTTCCTCTACCTGGATGCCTTTGTTCCTGACTCCCACTGCCCATATCTGCCTGTAAAAGGCGCCTACCCTAAAAAGCCTTGTTCAAATGGTGAAACCTTCTCAGATCATTCCAAGTACAATTAGTCTTTCCTTCCCTCTCACTCTCTTCCATGGCTTCATATTGTCTTTGTCAGAGCATTTAACAAACTCTGTGGGAGCTCTCCATTTACTGGTTTACTCACTGTCTTACCTGTTGGACCGTGAGTGCCTTAAGGGCCCCATCATGAAGATCGGGCTAATCCCTGAGACCCAGAGCTCATATCCTGCTTCACAGAGTAGGAATCAAAAAGTATTTGTTACATGAATGAATGAAATATTAACTCTTTGGCTGCTTATCTTCTTTCTCCTCCTTTCCTTCCCTCCTCTCTAGTTTTTCATCATTGTAAGTGGGAAAGTATGGCCTAGAGATTTAGATTTAGAATCTTCATCATAATATAGAAAAATAAAACAACTTTGGACTAGAAGTCAGGAGGTCCAGTCTATATCTGTCACCAGCTCACTCACTGTTTGACCCTTGGTGATTAATTTTACTCCCTAGATCTCCATTTCTTCATCTTTCCACCGGAGTAGGGCATTTTAAGGATTGGTGTTTATGATAAAGTAGAATAATGGAAAGACCATCAGCTATGTTGCCAAATAGACCTGGGTTTGAATCTCAGATATCCACAGATAGGAAATAATTGTGCAAGTTTTTCCTATCTCTGAACTTTCAGTTTCCTCATTTATAAAATGGTAATAGTGATCTCTACTTTGCAGGGCTGTTGTGAGGAATAAATAAACTGGTAGCCATAATTTGAAGTTTTAAAAGCAATTTTATAGCTACAAATTATACCTTCTTCCACCTCTGAGGTCCCTCCCAGCAAGGACATTTTTTGGCCACTGGGATCTTCCCAACCTCTTCACTGGCGCTCCCTGCTTTCAGTATTTAATTTAGGCCAGTATCGACGAGAGGCAGTGAGCTACAAGAACTATGAATTCTTTCTTCCAGACAACATGGAGGCCCTGCAAATCAGGAAGTAAGTACCCAATATTTTAGGAATCTGTGCTGTCCCGTGGCTGAAAGGCCCTTGTTCAGATACTGGGGGAGTAGGGCAGAATAATCTGGACCAGAAAGGTGGCCCTCTAGACTCTCAAACAGTAGTTGGAACAGCCCTTCCATTATCCTGCCCAAAGCCTGTTTCTGGTCATAACCATCCACTTATCAAAAACCTTTAATGGTCTTCTACTTCTGACAGGAGAGAGTAGAAACTTCTCAGCTTAGCATTTGAGGCAAGAATCTCAATAGCTTGGCCTACTCTAGTTTCTGTAGTCTCATCAGTTCAACCTCAAGGTCTGTCTACACTGCAAGACGCTGAGTAAAGGCAGACTAGAGCCTGGGCCTTATGCCCTCAATATAGAACCCAGCAGTGAGTAATCACTAAAGAGATTTTTGCTGAAAGCATAAATACATTGCCACTGTCATGCCTGTGTGTTACCCATGCCAGGAATGCCTTTTTATTTCACAGACCACATGCTCTACCTGGGTTCATAAAACAGTTCAGCTTGAGTTCCATTAGCTCAAGGGTTGGAAGCCTTAATATTATGGCTTCTGTCATTGCTCAGCTTTTCCTGATTGTGTCACTTTATACCTGCCCCTAAGCTGTGTAAGCTGTGCACATACAGCCACTTTCAACTGTTTGACCCCTCTGTGCTTAGCACGGTGCCTAAAGCACAGGGCACATAAGTTAGTCTAAGACATGAGAGATGATACAGAAGATACTGCAGACAATGAGAGAGGAATCCATCCTGGGTGATAAGGGTTGTCTCTTTTTCTTTCCTGGTCTATTTCAGGCAGTGCGCCCTAGCAGCCCTGAAGGATGTTCACAACTATCTCAGCCGTGAAGAAGGTCATGTCGCGGTAAAGAAATTTGTTATTTTTTCCTTGGGTATCTACTGGGAAGGGAATTAGCTAATATGTACTGAACATTTACTGTTGTTCTGAGTATTTGCATATATTAATAATTTCATTTTATGCTCCCCCCTTGAGATAGGTATTGTTATTATGCCCCATTTCAGAGCCCAGAAGAATGGTTCACAGAGACATTAAATAATTTCCCAAGGTGGTACAGCATATACCTGGCAGGGCCAGAAATGGAATCCAAGTTGTATAGCTTCAGAATCCCCACTCTTAACCACTGTGCACTACCAGTCCACCCCCAATAATTCAGCAGGACTGTATTAGAATTTAAAACTGCAGTACAAACAGTTTTGAGTTCTAGAGACTTACCTAAATATCTAGTCAATAGTTTAGCTAGGATTTGCAAATTCTGAAAGGGGAGGAGATTCTCAAATATGCAAATGGTCCAATCTCAGGTACTGAGGCTAGGGAATTGTTTCTTGTTCTTGAGGACTTCTAAAGTGATAAGGAAGGAAGAAGCTTCAGCTAGGAATTGAGAGAACCAGTTCTAGCTCTGCTCTGTCAGCAACTCTCAGTGACTTTGGTCAAGGCAAGTTCTTCTAGGCCTCAGTTACCTCACCTATAAAATGACCCTAATAAACACCCACAATTTCCTCTTGCCTTATTACACTCACAGGGTAGCATACATTTCTGGACAGACCACAAGGGCCCAATATGTGCTTGTGAAATTGTCATAAGCCAATCATGAATCCTTCCTATCCTTCAAGACCTTGTTCAAGTTTTACCTCTATATGGAAGCCCTCCACTTAGCACAGGGATGGGCAAAGAGTAGGTGTTCTGTTAGCACCAGATTCAGAGTAATCCAATCTCATTACCTGCCTCTAGGTTTTTGATGCCACCAACACTACCAGAGAACGGCGGTCACTGATCCTGCAGTTTGCAAAAGAACATGGTTACAAGGTATGGTAACACTCCAACTCTTATTTAGAGCCTATTTCTCCAGCACAAACCCCAAAGAAAGGCAAACCAGGGGACTCAGAGAAGCCAAATCCACAACCATAAGCTCAACATTTTAATTTGGTTCTCTAACTTTCCAGGATATAGTCAGAAGCAGCAAAGCAGAACAAGAAAGGAGGGGTGCCATATTAGGCAATGGAAGATGACTGCAGACAGGCTGGCTATGGGGAAAGAGTGGAGAGAGTCACTACAAAAAGCTTATATAAGACCTAAACCCAGTAAAGATATAAAACAACAATCTGGGGTCATTCAGTTTAGAGCCAGTCTGCCTCATGAAACTCAGAAGCCTGAAAGTACCACTGTATGAGAGCATTATGTTGTCAGAGATGCCCCTGGAGATGATTTAGAACCATTGAAAAGGAGTAAAGCTATGTTCAGCTCCTATCAAACATAATTTCCTGCTGGAAGTCTCTTTTCTGTTTCTTTTATAGGTGTTTTTCATTGAGTCCATTTGTAATGACCCTGGCGTAATTGCAGAAAACATCAGGGTAAGGACCACCAGTTACTTTTCCACTTTGCTCTGCCTTAGGCTTAGATCATGCCTAAGGCAGAGGTGAGATTATGCTTAAGGCAACTCCATGAGATTAAAGAAAGTATTCCTCCCTGATCTTCTCCTCCTAGTTTTTGTAGGAAGCATTCCGTAACCATCCTGGCCTACAATGACTCTATTAATTTTAACGAAGCCAACATATATAGTGCCCTTTCTATGCTCCAGATACCAGACTTGACTGTCATTAATTTTCACAACAAAACTGCATATTACAGATTATTTCCATGTTAGAGAGAGGAAACTGAGGTTCCAAAAGGATAAATGAATTGTCAAAGATTCATACAGACAGAAAGGGATAGAAGTGGGACTGGACCTCAGGCTTGGCTGTCTGCCTCAAAAGCCTACATTTTTTATTCTACCCCAAAATTCATACCAGAACTACCACTGCTCTTAGATTCTAGGCATGTGGTCTAGAACTAGGTCATTTACCACGTTTTGTTGTTCCCCACTTCATCAAATTACTGGAGCTCAAGAACAGAAGAGACCTTAAGGGCAATTTTCTTCTACCCTCCCTCAGATACTTGAAGTCTTACCTAAATGTATATCTAGATTTTCTTTTTATACCTGCAATGATAAGGGGCCCATTGCTTTCAATGAATGCGGTCCAGTCAAGCTGGAATCTGCCTCCTTGTAATTTTTATTAATTGGTAATTTTTTTAACCTTTTGGGGCATACAGCATGTTCATTTCCTCCCTTCCCTCTTCATCCTCCCATCTATCTATCTATCAATTCAACAGAAATTGACTATATACCTGGACTTGGCCATTCTGGGCATTAGAGACATACATATGGATAGTGGAGAGTCCTTCCCTTGAGCATATATTCTAGGGAGGAAGACTGGCAAGTATATGTACAGAACTCTGAGAACTGAGGTGATATGAGGGAACAGAGGAAGCTTTGGGAAGACAGTGTTGAGGGCCTAACTTTGCATGGGGGCAGAAATCAGGGAAGCCTTCCTAATGGAGGTAAAATTAAAACGAATAAGGATATATGCGATTGTTATTACAAAAGTGTTCTTCACACATGAATGACACTTCAGTTTCCAATGACCTTGAAGAACACATAGGAATTTGGTGCGTGAAGAATGGAAAATAAGGATATAAGCATATACTAAGTATGGCATCTCCGGAGAACTATAAGTAGCTTAAATTGGTTAAAGTCAAATGTGTGGAGGAATAGGGGAGCCATGGGAGATAAGGTTGAAGAAATAATTTGGGGCCCAATCATGACAAGCCATGAGCTGCCTGCTAAAATAATTCACACTTTTTTTCTAAAAGTTATGACAAAATGTATAAGGGCTTTAAGCAGGAGAATACTTTGGCCGGATATTCATATTAGAAATACCCTTCTGGCTGCCAGTATGGTGAATACATTAGAAGTAAAAAATATATAGACAAAGTAATTGGGCACACAGCTATAGTGAGCACAAGCAAGAATGAATGGATATTTAGAGGAGATGATAGAGTGGAGAGGATTTGGTACCTGCTAAGAGGTGAGGGATGATAGAAAGACAGACATCTAGGATGACTCCCAGGTTACATTTAGGAGCAGATGATGGGGTAGGTGATAGTGCCAGTACCTGAGATGAGGACTGTGGGAGGAGACAGTGGGTATTGGTGAATTAGGAGAGGCCAGTCTTCAGAAATCCAAAGACAGCATGTCATAATCTCCCGGTAAACACTTGATACATGTAAGCCGTAATGACCCCTGGACAAGATCTCTGGTTCCACTTCTTCAGCCATTTCTCACATCACAATTTCTGGTCCTCTTATAAATGTTCTTCTTTTATAAGCAGTGTATGCTCTGCGACTGAGTATAATGTAACAGGCTTTCTTTGAGATTAGGAATGAGGAGTCACACAACCAGCTTCTTTTCAATTGGCTGATTTTTGTAAACTTAGGCAAGATGTGTTCTCCAGGTCTCAATTTCCTCATCTTTATAATGAGGCATCTTGTACTCAGTGGTCTCTAAGAACCTTCCAAAGAAAACCATCAGAGACTCTGTCTCACAATGTCTCCCTTGATACCTCTGTTCTCCCTGATCCCAGCAAGTGAAACTTGGCAGCCCCGATTATGTAGACTGTGACCGTGAAAAGGTTCTGGAAGACTTTCTAAAGAGAATTGAGTGCTATGAGGTCAACTACCAACCCTTGGATGAGGAACTGGACAGGTAAGAGCCAGCACCCCAAAGTCAAGGTCTAGATCTTTTGCCCAGTTTTGATATCCTGTAGAACCTGGAGGGAATATCCTCCCTTTCTGAGCCTCAGCTTCTCTATCTGTAACATCAGGAAACTGAACTTGATTATCTTTCTTCAAGGATCCTTTCAGCTCTGATTCCTTGACGTGTAAGGTGTTCCTAAGATGATTAAAATAGTGTTTTCCTGAGCAATATGAACAGTTCAGGACCCCCTCCTGAACAGAACAAATGCCCCCATCCTGTGGGTGTTGCGATTATTATTACAAAAGTGTTCTTCACACATGAATGGCACTTCAGTTTCCAAACATGTTTACCTTCTTTCTTACATTTAATCCCTTAGGACTCCTGTAAAGGAGGCTGAGATAAGTCTTATGATCATAAAATTTCAAGAAAAAGAAATTGAGTCTTAGAGAACTGAAATTACTTTCCCAAGCTCCCATCACAAGGGGTAGAGCTAGGATTCTAATTACATGTTCTGTCTCCTAGTCATGTCTCTTTTCACAACATTCCCATGTCTCATCAATCAACAAGTATTTGGACCCTTTGGACTGTGGTATATGTAGGGGGTATAAATAGGGGCAAAAGAGGTGGGTTCTATCCTCGGGTAGCTTCTATAGTGCTTTGACATATGAGAACACCCATTAAAAAAAAAAAAAAAAAAAAAAACAAGAAATGCTCTGTCATAATACCAACTAAAGATAGGAGAGAGCAGATGTGAGTTTTAGATGTAGAATGTTCCCAGAACCCTACTCTCTTTGAAAATGTGTTGTGATGAGAAGAGACCCCAAGTGAGAAGTATAAAGAGGCTTCAAATGGTCATCACCACTCTAAGAAATCTAAAGAGTGGCCTTACCCAATTGAAGTACCGAGAGATCAGCACTGTTATTGCCCCACTCTTTAGATGGAGAAACTGAGACCCAGATCAAATCAAAGGCTTACTTTGGGCTACACAATGAACGAATCAGTAGCACAATATCTGTTCGAACCCATATCCCAGTTGTGCAGATTGTTCATTGCACAGGCACCCTGGTCAAGGGTACACTCGCTTCTCTCACCAAGATGTGTGCTGAAGTAGGGCTGTGTGACCCTGAGGAAAGTACGGCTTTTGAAAATTATCACAAAGGAATGACATGGGCTAACAGCATATGGTGAAAGGAGCCTGAAGGCCGGAGTGGAGGGTGTAAGTGAAAGAACGGCATTGACAAAGCCCCAGCCCTGGGCCCAGACCCTGCGGTTGCTAGGTTGCTGTTTGATGAATTAGTTTGGGCCAGAAGAAGACAAATCTAGAAGGTCAGCTTTATGTCATCATTTTTCTATCAACAGACATTTACAGTCTATGCATCAGGTCCCAGCCCTGAACATGGAATCAAAAGAGGAAAGGGCTGTCCCTGATTTGACAGAATGTCCAGTTAGTTGGAGAAGACAATGAGTACACAGTTGGTCACAACTCTGGTGACAGTAAACCAAGTGGGCTGTAGAAACATGGGACCCTGTCCAATTTGGAGGAAGAAGGTCTAAAAGAGCTTGATTACCCAATAAGCAGACTACACATAGGGTACCAGCAAGATAGGGGCTACCAAACTGAGAAAAAGAGCTATCTTAAAAACATTTATTTATTTATTTATTTATTTATTTATTTTATTTTATTTTATTTTTGAGACAGAGTCCCGTTCTGTCACCCAGGCTGGGGTGCAGTTACATGATCTTGGCTCACTGCAACCTCTGCCTCCTGGGTTCAAGCAATTCTCCTGTCTCAGCCTCCTGAGTAGCTGGGATTACAGGTGCCCGCCACTGCACCCAGCTAATTTTTATATTTTTATTAGAGACAGGGTTTCACCATGTTGGCCAAGCTGGTCACTAACTCCTGACCTCAAATGATCTGCCTGCCTTGGCCTCCCAAAGTGCTGGGATTATAGGCATAAGCCACTGCACCCAGCTGGCTTAAAGGCTTTTATAATATTGGATATTTCAAAAACAGCATCAAGGTAGTCAAAGTGGAAAAATATAAAACCAGAACTTGGGAGAATCTCCCCATATTCTATAGTTTATAATTTTTATTTTAAATAAAAATTTAAAACTTTTTTTTAATTTTTAAAATAAAATTAAAAATTTGGATGGAGGTAGGCATTAACTACTCTACTATTTTTGGTGTGGAACACCTCTAAATGACTTCACATGATCCTGGTCTCAAAAAAGGCTTCCTAAAGAGTGAATATGCTGGTTCTTGAGGTATGAATGCATAGCAGCTCAACTTTGGAAATCAGGCAAAGAGAATAGCACTTTGTAAGTGCCTAGTTAAATCTGAACAAGAGTAGAGAAATACAGAAAATATTCCAAGTGTAATAGCAAAGGTGTGAAGACAAGAATGAAACAGAGAAGATATGGGTATGGGCATGGGACCATAAAGTGAGGCCAACCGGGCCCAGTGTGAGAAGGCAAAACCAGAAAATCAGACTAAGCTGAGGAATTTGGAAGCTCCTAGAGCCTCAACGGACCTAGTGTTAGGAACAGACAGTAGCCAGGCCACAAGTTTGCATCAGATATTTTCTACCCCTAGGCTCTGAGGGTTCTAGAAGAAATTACTGGAGGGGGGAGTATTCTGGGGTTCTTCCCGAGAAGGTGGCCTTGGGAAAATCACTTTCTCTATGCCTCGGTTTCTTCACCTTTAAAACAGAGGTGATAATCTCTGCTCTGTAGTAATATGAGGATTCATGTGCTTAAAAGTTCCCACTCCCTGCCAGATGCACAGAAAATATTCAACAAATACAAGTGCCCTGTGGAAGCCATTGGGCACAGGTGGGCATGATGAGTGTGGTGCAGCATAAAGGACTTCTCTAGGAAAATCTAGGGAGAGGCTTTCTGAAACCAAACCTGTCGGCAACCTTACCTGCCTCGGGTTAGTGCAGTGCAGCTCTTTCTATTCACTTGGTTTTGTTACCATGCAACCAGGGCTGCTGGTGTCACCCCATTGCCCCAGCCTTCCACTCCTCTTCCTAGGGATTTCTCTGAACTCTGTACAGGCCAACAACTAAACGAGTTAATGCCTGGTACAGTGTAGGCCTCAGAAGTCTTGCTCCATGTTTCTAGTCTTCTGATTAGTCAGTGCCTACACTCCACCCTCCAGCTTCTACACAAACAGGTGGTTGAACAGTTTGAATATCATTCAGTGTATAGGTATTAGTTCATGACAGAGCACAGAATTGAGGCTACGGTAAGGAACTTGGGACAAGGACCACAAGTTCCCCAATGATGTTGTGGACCACCTCTGTAACCCCATGCCACACTACTTGGCACACCTTAGAGGGAATGACTGTTTATGGAATGAATGTTGAGCACTGATCATGTGTTTCCAAGTATTTGTTCCTGACTGGCCAGAGAGCTCCCAAAGCACAGACACTGGGTCTCCATGCCAAGCACAATGCCTAGAACACAGGACTATGTTTGGAGTATGTTTGTTGACTGCATAGCAAATAGGAAAATAACCCAGGCCAACCCCCCCTTCTGAGTGAGGAGAGAGACACACACATGCACAGACACACATATGCACACAGACGCAATCTGGTAGTTGTGTGTTGAGTATAAAGGACAATATGTAGCAGAGGCTTAAAAAAAAAAAAGAGAGAGAGAGAGAGAGGTGAAGAGCTCAACTCAGGATCAGAAAGGGTAGGGGAGTGAACAAGTCAGGAGCTGCCAGTAAGACATTAGAGTTAGCCAGGGATACAAAGGATTACTGCTTCTCTCTGACTATGTTAGGGATGCGAACCCCAGAAGAGAGAACCCAGCTGCTTGTAAGAGGATGAGTGAAAAGGCAGTTTGGCTCAAGCTGAGGCTGAAGGAAGGAGACAGGGGGAAATAGCATATAATGAGCTCCTTTGGGTGGCCAATAACCAAGTCTCTAGGACAGGTACTCGGTACAGGGCAAGGCATGGCATCACATTAGGTGACAGCTGGGTTGTGGAAGAGGTTTGAAAGGGTGTGTGGTTCGGGGTTTCTTTTGGGGTCAACCCTACCACCATTAGCCCCTGAGCTGCCCTTGCTCCTGCTTGGGTCTGGCCCAGCCACCTGTCCTACATCAAGATCTTCGACGTGGGCACACGCTACATGGTGAACCGAGTGCAGGGTCACATCCAGAGCCGCACAGTCTACTACCTCATGAATATCCACGTCACACCTCGCTCCATCTACCTATGCCGGCATGGTGAGAGTGATCTCAACCTCAGAGGCCGCATCGGAGGTGACTCTGGCCTCTCAGTTCGTGGCAAGCAGGTAGGGTGGACCACATACACCCAGATGGGTTGGCTGGGCTGTCCTAGGTGGGCTGGAGGTGTAGTGGTGGCCACATTCTGGGTCCTGAGGTGGGATGACCCAGGGATGGGGTAGAAGCAGATTCCATCACTCCTACTCTTCCATCCATCAGCCACTCAGTCTCTTCCCAGCCGCCGAATGGTTCCCTATGCCACCTGTTCTGCAGGTCTAAGAGCTTGGCCTTGGCACCCAAGGCCTGCCCAAAGCCAGCTGCTCCATGACAGTGACTCCCTTTGCCCTTCCTGACTGGTTCCATCATCTTTCTCACAACGTTGTGCCTTTGCTGGTGCAGCTCCCCCACCTAGTCTACCCTCTTCTGTCTCCTCTGTCAGTGGGTGACCATCAGTGGCACAGACAGCTGCCCTGAGAGACCCATCCTTGAACCACTCTTCTCCCCAATTCTGCCCTCCCCACCTCACCCCAACACAGGTGTCACACTGGCAGCCCCTGTCCCCACCCATGACAGTGTCCTTCCTGCCCTCCCCACTCCCTTCCAAGGCCCAGCACCTGCTCCAGAAAGCCCTCCCCATCCTCTCCTCCCTCCCAGGCAGGTTGCCATGCCCTGGGCTCCAGCTCTCCCAGTTCTGGCCCATGTGTGGCTCTCCTGGCCTGAGTGTCTTCTCCCCAGCCCAGCACAGTGACCTGCATGTTCTGGTTGCTGGCTAAATACAGGGATCCATTTCCACAGCATTTGGTCCTGCACCTGGGCTTGTTAGCACAGGTATTGTTCCTGCTGGCAGGACCACTTGGGGATGGAACAGGTGGGAAATGACGTGCAGGATGGACAATTGTTGTCATGATTGTCATTTATTGGACACCTATGCAGTCACGGTGCCATCTGCTTCTGCACGTGTGGCTCATTTCATCTTCACCACAGGTCTGTGAGGTGGGCATTCCTACCACCAGTTTATGGATGAGGAAGCAGAGAGCAGCCCCAGGGCAGGTGGCCAGGATGAGACAGAGCCAGGGCTGAAAGCGGGGCCTACTGACCTGCCCTCAGCTCCCCCACTGGAGATAGGGGGGTGCCCCAGGCAAGGCACTACCCTGGATGGCCACGCCCTGGTGTCTCCCTTTCTGTTACCTCCAGACTGACAGCCTCCCCTCAAGGTAGACTCTAACCTGTGACTCCCTCATGTCCCACTCCTCAGAGCAGAGTCAGAGGCTGCTGGAGGTGTGACCCCGGCCCATGGCAGCCCCTGCAGCCAGGGCCATCTTGGGTGGAGCCAGCCTGGCCCTGCCCACACAGCTCGGAGCCCAGTTGGACACGTGGCTGTCTCCACAGGGCATGCCTCCCTGCACACAAACCTGTGTGTGTGTGCATGCACACAGCTGATGCCACCTTCATGCTTCTCACAGAGCACCAGGCCCAGTTTACAAAGCACCTCCCTGTCGAGATAGCTCTCACTTGTGCAGCACCCACTGTGTACCAGGCTGTGGTCGGGGTACTCCCCATCCACTATCTGAAGTGCGGCCCCCAGACAGCAGGCCAGGTGAGCCGGTGCTCTTTGGATATGAGGCCAGGGAGGGGCAGGGATGTGTCTGACGGCACAAGGGACCATGTAAGGGAGCTGAGGGAGTTTAACCTATGGCTCCTACCTCCCTGTCAAGGGCTCCTTCCACCGGAGCATACTGACTCCTGACTCATTTCCATAATGAAATGTATGTATGAAACACCTATATCTGCATATAGAAATGTGTGCCTGGACCTATGCACCTGTGCAGATGTTCCTAACACATGCCATCAGCGGTTAACAACACACCTATACACAGAGGAGGAAATCACTAGCTCCTCTGGGCTCCCACAGCCCTTTATGGTTCCCCTCGGTGCTGCCAGTGTTTCCCTCACTGGACTGGCCATGTCTCGAGAACAAGAACACCCCAGCACCCAGCACAGGGCCATGAACACTCAATACATGTGTGAATGTCCCTAGAACCTGGGTACCAGGAACCCCGCTTAAGCGATAAGTGTTCACAGTGTCAAAAAGTAAAGTCTCCCAAATGCCACAACCCCTACTTCCAGTCCATACTCTGGTACCCCCAACCCTAGAATTCTTTGCCCTTGTTGTCTAGAGTCTGCTTTCAGTGCCTACATGGGCCTATCCCAGAGTCTGTCCACCTGAGGTCAGGCCATATAACATGACCAAGGGGTTGCTGTTTGTGGAGCATGGGGATCAGTGGAGGTGGAAATGTGGACAGAACTCAGTCGTGTGACTTGGTTATCCACAAGCATATACTAAAGGCACATAGAAGTGCAGGATAGAGCCAGAAATGGAGAGATAGACTGTGCATGGAGTGCCTCCATTGGTACTCTTGTCCCAGGCTCCACAAATATTAGAGGTGGGCCTGTTTGAATGAATGAATAACCAAGTAGGGGCTTTGGTGAGCAATCATCAATGAGCGCACGCGCACACACGCACTCTCTCTCTCTCTCTCTCTCTCTCTCTCTCTCTCTCACTCACTCATGCTCTTTTCTATTCCTTTGGCCTACCATCACATGGGAAAGAGTATGACTTTTTATAAATTTGGAACATTTAAACTCTTTGCTCTGCTTGTTCATCACCACTCAATTTGTGGCAGATCTGAGCTTGTTCTTATGGCCACCCTGCTCTCTCTCACCTCTCCTTTTCCCCTTCTCTCCTCCTCTGCATCCCCACGCACTAGTATGCCTATGCCCTGGCCAACTTCATTCAGTCCCAGGGCATCAGCTCCCTGAAGGTGTGGACCAGTCACATGAAGAGGACCATCCAGACAGCTGAGGCCCTGGGTGTCCCCTATGAGCAGTGGAAGGCCCTGAATGAGATTGATGCGGTGAGATGCGTGGGGTGAATCTCCTGTGTGGAGGGGGTGACTTGAGTCTGGGATTGTGCCCTGGGTTGCCTCTGCTCCAGCCCCTATGGGGAGCCTAATTAATTCAACAAACTTTTTTGACAACTAGCCATGTGCCAGACCTTATTCTATGTCTTGGGGATCCAGTGAAGGCCAGAATAGACAACGTCTCTGCCCTCATCCTAAAGACAGACAGTAAATAGGACATTACATCTCAGTGTGACAAAGGGCTATGAGAGGAGAAGTAGAAGGGATTATGGAGGATCAGAGGGTGAGGGTGCTCCTGACTCAACTTGGTGGTGGGAGATTTAGAAGGAAAGCTTCTTGGAGGAAGCTAGAGGTGACATAAGAAGGAGGCGAAATGGTCTGGGGAGTGGGGAAATAAATCTAATTCAGAGACAGAAAATAGCTCATGTGAAGACCCAGAGATAAGAAGAGAGCATGGCAAGTTCAGGGAACTGAAGGAAAGAATAGCACAGAGGCTGGGACAGCAATAGTGAGATCTGGAGAAAAGGGAGATGAGGCTTGAAAGGAAGCCAGGCCACCAGGCTTTATAGTTCATGTTGAGGGATTCAAATGCTGCCCTAACAACAATGAGATGCCATTGATGGGGTCCACATCAAGTAGGAGTAGTCTGACTGTGATGCACATTTTTAAAGAAAGCCCACTCTGGGCATGTGTGGAAACTTGGTGGGAAGAAGGCCAGAATGAACATGTAGACCAGTAAGAAGTTGATTGCATTAGTCTGGTAAGAGGTGGGGGCATGTTGAACCAGAGTAGTGGCATTGGAGATGAAGTGAAGGACTTTGGGAATGTTTCAAAGGTGGAATCAGGTCAGGTGCAGTGGCTCATGCCTGTAATCCCAGCACTTTGGGAGGCCTAGGTGGGAGGATCACTTGAGCCCTGGAGTTGGAGACCAGCCTGAGCAACATAGTAAAACCCCATCTCTACAAACAATTTGAAAATTGGCTGGGTGTGGTGGTGCATGCCTGTGACCTCAGCTACTCAGGCGGCTGAGATAGGAGGATTGTTTGAGCCTGGGAGGTTGAGGCTGCAGTGAGCTGTGATCATGCCACTGCACTCCAGCCTGAGTGACAAGCAAGGCCCTGTCTCAAAAAAAAAATTTAAGGTGGAATCAGCAGGGCTTGATGGTGCACTGGCTATAAGGGATGAGGAAGAGGGAGACATGAAGGACCCAACCCTGGTGGTATAGCAATCTCTCTTCAGGGTCAGGTTCTTCCATGAGCTCTTTGAGAAAGGAGCTGTTTCCTCTCCATTGTTCACCTGCACTGTAGGTACAATGGCACTGGGCAGCAGCACACAGGTTATGATTGTTAGGCATCAACATAAAAGCTTCACCACTTGTGTAAATAACTTGCGTGTGGGTAGATTAACTTACTTACTTGCCTGCTAGATATGCCTCTATAGAAACAGACACGTATGTGTGTGTACATTCATACATATGTGTATATAAATATAGAGGTACAGAAATACACATAGCTAGAAAAGGGCTATACAGCATTGTTCTGTATACCACATACATTTGCTATAAAATATATGCAAGCAAATATGAAATTTCTTCATCATAAGTTTGGTGGCTTCTTATTTCTGGTCCACATGTGGTGTAAACATTTATTGAATCCCTCCTTATTTCAGGTTTTGGAGTGATGCTGGAGGTGGAAATTGATCTAATTCATTCCTGTCTTCACTGAATTTTCAGGCTAAATAGGGTAGACAGAGGAATAAACAGAGAAATAGAGAACAGCATGTGTGATACAGGCTCTGATAGGCAAGACTATGGGTACATAGAAATTGGGGCAGGACACCTAACTCAGCCAAGATCTACCTGGAAGAAGTGATACCTAGCTGAAGCCTCAGGTTTGAGTAACAGTGAACCAAATAGAAAGGATCAAGAATGACATTCCAGGCAGAGAGACAGGGATAGGGAACTTCACAAACAAAGAGGTTGATTGGATGTGTTGAAATGCTAAGGTTGTAGTAGTACAAATGGAGAGGGAAGAAAAAAGGAATCGATTTGAGAGAGATTTAGGAGGTGGAATCTCAGAAATTGGCTATGAGGGGTGAGTGAGGAAGAAGCAAGAATTTAGGATGATGATAAAGCAAGAATTTAAGTTTCTGGTTTATTTTCCATGATTAATAAAATATTAATACTTGATTCTAATGATTGAGTCTTTAAAATGTCCCTTGCATATTCTATACTAATATATTTTATTTACATTTTTCCAGTATTCAAAACACTTCTATGAAGTAGTTCTAATTCTCCACATTTTGCAGACAAGGAAAGTAAAATTTGGAGAGGTTAAGCAATTTGACTCAATAATGAGTCAATGACCATTTCTATAGGCCACAGGCTCCTAGTACTCCTCAGAATAGAAAGTTGAAGCCAATCTGGAAGGACCTCATGTACCCAGTAGGGTGCACTTTCTTCCATGGGCAGTGTGGGTTGGAGAAGTTTCACACTGCAGAGATGTTTGTGGGTTGGGGTAGGGGTTCACTTCCTCACCCCTGATGGGGGCATGGTAGATGGGCCCAGTAGACAACAACCAGAGGCCGCTGGCCCCCTACAGGGAGATTTAATTGGAATCCACATACCCAAAAGGAAACCTTAGAAACCCAACATAACTTTCCACCACCAGCAGTAGTCACCTCACCTCTGGGAGTTTCTCAGTAGACTTGGAATCTCTCATAAGCACCTTAGGAACTCATTTTCTGAGGACTCAATTCCTTTTTTGAGTGAGGAGAGTGTATCTCCCCCAAATCCACTCTGAAACCATTAGGAATTTATTAATTTTTCTTGTCTGAGATGTCTGTGGATGCCTGTTTATCTGCCAGAGTTCCCAAAGTAGAGGTCTTCAGACACAGGCACACAGATAACTCTCACATATACACCAGAGACATAATGAGGGACATATACATTAACAGACACACATGCCACAGACACACTGAGACCTGCATGGAAAGACCACATGGACACATTCTCCAATGCTTAGACACCCTGTACACACACACACACACAAACACACACGCAAGCACACAACATATGCTGAGACAAATACACAAACACGAGGCATAAGTCCTTAAACATACCACAAGTACATAAGCATGCTCCACACAGACTTGTAAACACAGCCACAAATTCTTATGCCCATATTTTTATAAAAATACATACTTATATGTATAATGTACACCTGCAGACCTATCTGTACAATCATAGAAAAACATCATACACTCAGCCTGAACACATCTATCCACATACACTCACTGTCACATCCACACAGCCACACACCCTATACACACACACAAACACACACACACAGACACACACACACACATACACACTTATAGATAACAGGCACAGACCCAAAGCTGTGTTCACAGAGACCCAGGTGCTCATGTGCTACTGTTCCACAATCATCGAAGAATTATGGCAAAGACTCTGTGGAATTTCATCTTGTGAATACTTTTGCCCCCAAATACTTTTTCTCAGGGTGTCTGTGAGGAGATGACCTATGAAGAAATCCAGGAACATTACCCTGAAGAATTTGCACTGCGAGACCAAGATAAATATCGCTACCGCTATCCCAAAGGAGAGGTAAGGTTTGGGGGGTGGCCTAATGCCTAGGACTACTCCCCAGTGTCTTCATTGCAACTGCCAGGATTCCACAGTTGTCTAGACAGCTCTGGAAACAGAGTAAGCATATCTTGCAGCAGCTGCCATCCCACAAGGCACATGATTATCTGGCCCTTGGTTGTTTTAGATTCTTGGCTATAGGCAACAGATCCATCCCTTTCTTTTAAAAGCTACATAATTTTCTCGCTTATTCTCTTTCTGCTTCAGAAGTGCTCACTTTATCCTGGACCTTGTCTCTGGTATCCCTTCATGAAGACACTTTAAATAGTTCAACATACTCTGATTTCCTGATATTTTGTTGCCAAGTTGCCTAAAGCTCCAGCCTCTCTGGGCAGTTGGCATTGTCCCAAGAGACAATGGCTAATAATTTAATCAACTTCTTTGCCACTACATGAACCAGACCATCAGTTCCCTATCCCCATATGAGATGAATGCTCATTGCATTTGATCAAGCCTCCACTTAGCCAGTTCCACATTTTAGAGCATTTATTAGTCACACTTTATTTCTAATATAAATTGCTGGGAAAAGTTATTAGAAAAGAAGGACATCTGGGAAGATAAAACAATAGATATTCTATTCAGTTATACAACACTTTCACATTTTTTCTCTTCACCCTCAGAGATGACATTATAAAATTCATCTTAATTTGACCTCATTTTCCTTTAGGTATTTAGAGGCTGTGTTATTAGAGGTATACAATATTAAAGCAATTATATTTTCTCAATGAATTGCACATTTTATCATTACATAGGACCAAACCTCTTTCTTCCCGATAATCCTTTTTGCCTAAAAACGTATTTTATCTGACATTAATATAGTTGTACACGATTCAGTGACTTCTGGTGACTACTTAGTTCACTTTTAGCTATTCATTTACTTTCAACTTCCCTCTGTATCTTTGTTTTGTGTCTCTTATAAACAACTTACAGTTGGGTTTCGTTGTTTTTAATCCAAACTGAAAATATGTGTCTTTTGAATGGTAAGTTTGGTATATTCACTTTTATTGTAATTACTAACTTTTTTAGTTTATTACTATTATCTTGTCTTGAGTTCTCTGCTTAGTTTTTTCTCTTTTCCTGCCCTCTTTTGGATTGATAAAGTTTTTATATCCAAATTTAAGTTATATAATTTGTTTCCATTCATTTAGAGATTACCCTTAACATTTAAAAAATTTTTCATCGTGATTCTTTCAATTTTTAGTTGATATCTCAATAAGGATGTAAGGTCAAAATGTATTTCAAGACCACTCATAATAATTCTTTGCTGAGTGCTATTATGCAACCAACTCGAACCCTTAACATTTTAATATTCAGTATTAACAAAATCTAAAATCAATATCTCCACCCTCTACCTAAACAACAGAAGAACTTTAAAACTCGGGCCACTGTGTCTCCTAATTTACATGTTGTTTGTATTTTAGGTCAAACTTGGTCTTAACCCCCAAGTGAATTATTACTGTTGTCGTTATTATTGTATGCAGTCAATGTTTATTTAGATTTAACCACATGTTTACCATTCCTCTGATCATTCTTGCCCCTTCCACCTCAAATCTTCCCTCTGAGTTCATTTTCCATCTTTCTTTTTTATTTTTATTTATTTAGTCATTTATTTTATTTTATTTTATTTTATTTTTGAGATGGAGTCTTGCACTTTCTTTTTTTTTTTGGTAATTTTTCTAATTTATTAGTTTAATATCCCTCCCATTTAAAAATTTAATTTAATGTACTTAAAAAAATTGACACATAACAATCCTACATGTTTATGGAGGTACATAGTGATGTTTTGATACATATAGTGTATAGTAATCACATCAGGGTAATTAGCATATCCATGATCTCAAACATTTATCATTTCTTTGTGTTGGGAACATTCAATGTCCTCCTTCTAACTATTTGAAACTTATAATATAAACTATAGTCACCCTACAGTGCTATAGAACACCATATTATATTTTTCCTGTCTAGTTCTAATTTTATACCCTTTAACAAATCTCTTTTTTCCCCCCAACCCTTACCCATCTCAGCCTCCAGTATCCTCTGGTCTACTTTTTACCTCTATGAGATCAACTTTTTTTTAGCTTCCATATATGAATGAGAACATGTGGTGTTTAACTTCCTGTTCCTGTCTTATTTCACTTAACATAATGTCTTCCAGTTCCATTCGTGGTGCTGAGAATGACAGGATTTCATTTCTCTTTTATGGCTCAGTAATATTCCATTGAGTGTATATACCAAATTTTGCTTTATCTAGTCATCTGTTGTTGGACACCTAAGGTTGATTCCATGTCTTGGCTATTATGAATAGTGCAATAAACATGGGAGTGCAGATGTCTCTTTGATATAATAATATCCTTTTTTTATTTAAGTTCTAGGGTACATGTGCACAACATGCAGGTTTGTTACATATGTATACATGTGCCATGTTGGTGTGCTGCATCCATTAACTCGTCATTTACATTAGGTATATCTCCTAATGCTATCCCTCCCCCCTCCCCCATCCCCACAATAGGACCCAGTGTGTGATGTTCCCCTTCCTGTGTCCAAGTGATCTCATTATTCAATTCCCACCTATGAGTGAGAACATGCGGTATTTGGTTTTCTGTTCTTGCGATGGTTTGCTGAGAATGATGGTTTCCAGCTGCATCCAAGTCCCTACAAAGGACACAAACTCATCCTTTTTTATGGCTGCATAGTATTCCATGATGTATATGTGCCACATTTTCTTAATCCAGTCTGTCACTGATGGACATTTGGGTTGATTCCAAGTCTTTGCTATTGTGAATAGTGCCGCAATGAACATACGTGTGCATGTGTCTTTATAGCAGCATGACTATATTTATTTTATTTTTTATTTTTTTTTGAGATGGAGTCTTGCACTTTCACCCAGGCTGGAGTGCAGTGGCGCGATTTCGGCTCGCTGCAAGCTCCGCCTCCCGGGTTCACACCATTCTCCTGCCTCTGCCTTCCGAGTAGCTGGGACTACAGGCGCCTGCCACACCACACCCGGCTAATTTTTTTGTATTTTTAGTAGAGACGGTGTATCACCGTGTTAGCCAGGATGTTCTCGATCTCCTGATCTCGTGATCCACCCACCTCAGCCTCCCAAAGTGCTAGGATTACAGGCGTGAGCCACTGTGCCCAGCCTTCCATCTTCTTTAGAAGCTTTTTTAGTGAGTAAACACACCCTTCTTTTTGTTTAAAAATGTCTTGGTAGGAGGGGGTCCTCAATCCTAGTGATGCTTGGCTGGGTAAAAACTCTAGGTTGACAGTTTTCTCTCAGCACTTTAAAAGTATTACCCTCACTGTCTTCTGGCTTCTACTGTGGCTAGGAAATCTGCTGTCAGTCTAGTTTTCTTTTCTCTCTGGCTACTTTTAAGGTTTTTGTATCATTGTTGCTTTAAAGTTTCCTTCTAATATGTCTAGATGTTAATTTCTTTTCATTTATTAATATATTGCTTGGGATTAGTGAGACTTCCCGAATCTGAAGCTTGGGATTCTTCATCAAGTCTGGAAAACTCTCAGACATTTTATCTTTAAAAATTCATCTCTCACATTCTATTATCTTCCTCTGGAAATACAATTGGATGTATGTTACTCCTGCCTCTATTCTTCATGTCTCCTAACTTTTCTTTCCTATTTTCTATCTCTTTGTATCTTTTGCTGCATCCTGAGTAATTTCTTCAGCTTTATCTTCCAGTCAGTATTTCTTAAGTAGTATCTAATATGCTCCTTACCCCATCCACTGAGTTTTCCATTTTAATGACTATTTTTTTATTTCTGAAATTCTATTTAGTTATTTTTCAAATCTACATCGCATTTTTGATAACATCTTGTTTCTTCCTTACATTTTTTATTCCACTTTTTATTTCTTTAAAAGTTTCAAACATATTTATTTTATATTGTGGCATCCCTTATCTTAAATTTTTAGGGTTCTCTTCTTGTTTCTGCTTATTCTCACTCATGGTAGCTTATTTCCTTGTGTGTTATATGAGCTCCAGCTTGGCAAGAATTTATCTATGGGAATCTCACACAGCCTGAGTTAAGAGAATCCAGAGAGATTTCCGTTTGCTTCTTCTAAGCAGTCCTGGGAGCTAACGACTTGGGATCACTTTTTATTAAACTCTCAGCATAACATTATTCAAATCACATGGGTAGTGTAACTCTGAATCACCAGCTCACCTGAGGGAAGTCTGGTGTTTATAAATTCTTACAGGAGGATTTTCACTTATCTCCCCTGAGAGCCAAGGAGAGACAGACACATTTTCTTGTTGTTTCTTTTTGCTTGTTAAGGAACTTTTTCTAGTTTGCACTTTTGCTGAGAGTGTAAAGATTTGGCCTTTGAGGGTCTCAGATTTATGTGAGAGTCTCAGTCTCAACTCCCCACCTTGTGCACACCCAAGGCCTTGTCTTCTACTTCTATAAGGTTTTTAAAACTCGAAACTCTTAGTTACTATGATTGGCAAATGCCCCCAGGGCAGCTGTGGCTTCTACATCCACATCACTTTTTTTTCAGTTTTTCTTCATTTTGGGGCCCTATATTTATAAAATTTTCTTTATTTTTGTGAAAGGTCAGCAGTGCACTTAAGAAGACAATTTGCAGTGGGGAGTTTTATTGTTGTTATTGTTATTTAGTCCACTGTATTGGTACACTTATTTAGTCCACTATATTGATAGTCCCCATTTAGCAGATAATGAAACTAAGACCCTAAGAAGGAAGTGAGTTGCCTAAGGTCATACTGCCGGGTCAACAATTGAACTGGCACTGGAACCAAATGTTCTTGATTCCTAGTTTAGAGTTCTTCCCCTCTGGGCAAATGTGCCTCATCTCCCTTTCTCACTCAAATATCTCTCTTACATTTAGTCCTATGAGGATCTGGTTCAGCGTCTGGAGCCAGTGATAATGGAGCTAGAACGACAGGAGAATGTACTGGTGATCTGCCACCAGGCCGTCATGCGGTGCCTCCTGGCCTATTTCCTGGATAAAAGTTCAGGTACTACCCTCATCTCTGTTTTGGGGAAGTTTGATGGTATTTGAGACACTGACACCAGCAATTAGATATCTATATCTTAGTAGTTAAGAGAAGAGTATTTAGAACAAGGATGCCTAGGTTCAGATTCTTTCTCTTTCACATACTAGCTGTACTGCCTTTCACAAATTACTTTAACCTCTCTGGCCTCAGTGTCCTCCTGTGTAAAATGGGGAGAATAACAATGAATTTTAAGTAACATAAGTAAAAAATTTAGAACAGATCATGACACACTGTATGGGCTATATGTTAACTGCTATTATTAGTATTGTTCTTAGCTAACATTTTCAAAGCCAACGTTAACAGTCTGCCTCAATCTGGAAAAGATGAGCTAGTATTTCTCTGACGCATGCTACCATCAGGTGATAGTGGGGCCTTTTGTAGCCTCATGATCCTGACTACAAGTTTCTGTCCTTGCTATAGGGGTAATTTCCCCAAGATAGTGATGTTTTCATTTTAAATTGTTTTTCAAATGATAGTTTATTTTTTAAAAATATCTAGGCATTGCATTTATACAGTATTTACACACTGACTACATAGGCTGAACTGCAAACTGGGGCAGCTGGCCTGGCAAAAAAACTGTTATATCACTTTCAGGCATGAAATTCCATTTCCAATGTGGATGCTGAAATGTTAGCATTTCCAGGATATTTTTAAGGTGTCTCAGAACAATGCAAAATTATATTCAATGTCTACAATGTTTTACAGTCTTGGATCTTTTCTACAATGCTGGTTTGAAAATAAAGAACACTGTAATATGGAGTCATCCAGAATTGGAACCCAGGGCACTTGAGAACTTGACATTAAATAAGGAATTTCCTCTGCCCAGTCCTCAGTTTCCTCACTGGAAATAGGTGATAGGATGTGCGGTGCGGGTCCTTGCACTGGTAGATTTCTCTGTGTTCACATCTCTACTTTTCGAGGCAATGTTTTGAGACCATGAGGCAGGTGCTGTAACTCCCATTGTCCAGATGAGGAAATGGAGACCCAGAGAGGTGAGGTGACTGGCACAAGGTCATGGGGCTCAGAGTGTCAGGGATAGACATTGATCCCAGGTATATGCCAGAGGACTTCCCCTTTCAGATATGTGTAGAGTGCTTTTTACACACAGGCTACCTGTCCTGGGAGCCAGACAAGGCAGCACTGGACAGATGTTCTCATCCCCTGCAACCCACCCACCCTATTACTCAGGTGAATGCTGGAACAAGGCCCAGAGAGATTATGTGACTGAGAATACAGACCCACAGAACCTCAGGGCTTGGGCACCCTCAGAGTACATCTAGTCCAATCCTGTCCTATGAAATGGGAACACTGAAGACCAGAGAGAGCAGAGGCTGGGCCAAGGTCACTAGTGGAGGCAGTGGCAGAGCTGGGTCAGAAATCTCAGGCAAGTCACTTCCCTTCTCTGAGTCTGTTTCCTAAAGTGTACAAGGAGGGTGTACAGTCTATCTTTAAGGGTGTCATGAGGTAGTGGGCAAAACGCCCTTGGCCCAGGGCCTGATGATGACAAAAACAAGGAGGAGCAGCAGGATGGATGCCCAGGAAGGAAAACAGCCAACCTAATGTCTCAGGAGGCTGGGAGGGCAGTGGCAGGCCTCAGAAACCTAGAGTGGAACCTGCTGTTCAGGGAAGCCATGAGGGGTGGTGATCCTGCAAAATGAAGGGAAATGGGGAGTGTTATGTGCAGGTGGGCGGGAAAGTGGGTATCAGGAGAGATTGCCTAGCAGGTGGGTGTATCACCCCCAGGACACTGCGAGCCCCTGGATGGCCGGGGCAGTTGACAGCAGGGGCCAGTGCATGAATTCTGGTGTCACAGGGTCCCAGGTTCAAGTCCTTGCTCTGCTGCTTCCTGGCTGTGTGACTTGCAGAGAGCATTTTCCCTCTCAGAGCCTCAGTTGGCTGAGACCATGAAATGGGCTTACTGCCCCCACCTCCCGGGCTTGCCCGAGAAATGGAATCATAGGCCCAGACAAGAAATTGCACATGAATATTCAGAACAACTTTATGCATAATGTCAATAACTGGATACAAGTGATGGACAAATGCTCGTCCATCGCCAGGCCTGGGGCAGGAGTGATCAGAGGGAGCAGGCCAGACTGGGAGAAGGCTGTGGGTGCTGTCCACTGCCACAGCAGGGCCTCAGAAAACACTTGCTGACGTGAACTGTGGGCCTTTGTGGTGTGGGGTCTGCGGAAGGCCCCAGCCTTGGGGCGGGAGAGAAGCCTGCCTGGGTCTCCTGTTGGCCCTGTGAGGTGGTGGCCGTCTCCAGGGTGGCCGGCCTGACCCTCCTGCAGGACACGCAGTCCAGTCTACCACCATTTTCCAGGGCATTCCTGCCTCCCTGCTCTCCTCCTCTCTTCCCAGCTGCTCTGAGCGCTGCCCCTGCAGGGTTGGGGGGAGTAGGCCCCTGGTGAGGCCCCACCACGGCAAGGGGACATGAAACGGGGAGCATCCAGCAAGCCTGGTGGCCTGGGGAGGCTGTGTCCTGGCCAGCACCCTGCCTCTGAGGGCTGCTTCCCGTTCCTTTCTAGATGAGCTTCCATATCTCAAGTGCCCTCTGCACACAGTGCTGAAACTCACTCCTGTGGCTTATGGTAAGTACTCCCACCCTGATTCAAGGACAGGCATTTAGAGGCTATGAGCATGGCCCTAGTGCCTACCATTTGCCTACCATTTGCCAAGAAGAGTCCTGCAGGAGGTTTCCTGGGTGGGTGTCCTGCAGGAGGTTTCCTGGGTGGGTGTCCTGCAGGAGGTTTCCTGGGTGGGTGTCCTGCAGGAGGTTTCCTGGGTGGGTGTCCTGCAGGAGGTTTCCTGGGTGGGTGTCCTGCAGGAAGTTCCCTGGGTGGGTGGTGGGGGTGGGAATGATGGCAGTAGGATAACAGGGAAAGAGTAGGATGGCTTCTAAATCTGGGGATGGCGCTGACTTTCTGTGTCTCTGCCAGAGCGCCCAGCACAGAGCACCAAGCTGTGGAAGGGGGATTCCCCAAAGGGGACCAGAGGAAAATTGTAGGTTAGGGCCGTATTGGAGAAAGAGCACAAAGACCAGCCTGGGCAGTTTAGGCTCTTTCTTGGTACATTAGCTATGAAAGGTTCATGAACAGGGGAGGGACAGAATCAAATCTATTCTGGGGTGCAAACAGGGCAGATGACCTACTGAAGCCTGGAGTAAGGTGCAGTCCACAGGGATGAAGCTAAGGGAGCTTCCACAGGCATTAGGCCCCCTCTGTCAGCCCCAAGCCCCAGTGATGCACCCTCCTCCTTCTTCAGGTTCCCTAGAACTCCCACGTGACCTTCCACACTCCTGGTGTTGCCACAACCACACTGTCCTCCAGATAAACTTTGCCTGGCACTGATCGCCCAAGGCAGTGGCCCCAGGACTCTTCCACCTCTTCAGCACCTAACACGGCTTGGAGGATCTGCAGAGCTACATCAATATTACATAGATGAGACTGCTGTCCTGCAGACCTCGAGAGCTGTGGGCAGCCAGAGTTCATCTCTCATCTCCATCCCCATTTACAAATGAGCAACTGAAGCTCACATAACTAAGACTATTAGGGGCAGAGGTGACAGGATGCCCTGTTGGCTGCCTCTTAGGCCTGGTGTCTTCCCCACACATCACACAGCTGTCTAAATTCTCCTCTGTACAGGCGAGTCATGATCTGTACACAGTATGAAGCTGGGGGTGTGGCTGGTGATGCGGGGGAGGTGATACCTCAGGGAAGACCTGTGCCTACCTTGGGGGCTTATGGACAGATGGATTGTTCTTTTCCAAGGCTGCAAAGTGGAGTCCATCTACCTGAATGTGGAAGCCGTGAACACACACCGGGAGAAGCCTGAGGTAGGTGGGGGACTCCATGGCCCAAACTGGCTGTGGACACAGCACATGGTGAAAGCACCTTATCCACAGAAAGGCTGCCCCAACCCCACGAAGCCTGCATGTTTTGCACCAACAGAGGGAGCAACCAGCACCCAGAAATGTGGAAACCACAGCCCAGACCCAAGCCACTATGGAGATACAGGGCTGGGGCAATTCCTGCCAAAAAGGCCTCAGACTGAGATTCCCCCAGGCCTACCTGAGGGTCAGGATCCCAGCCTGGCTGAAAGAGGGGAGCCTGGCAATGAGGACAAGAGGCAGGGGGGAGGTTGGGGCCCTGCACTGCTGTCTCCTTCCTATTGATCCTGCGCTCTCTCCTCAGAATGTGGACATCACCCGGGAACCTGAGGAAGCCCTGGATACTGTCCCTGCCCACTACTGAGCCCTTTCCAAGAAAGTGTCCTCATCGCCTTCCACCTTTAGGAAATGCTATCCTTGCCCTTCCCCTACTCTGCCTTGGCCTCGCTGAGGTACTCCACCGCCAGTGAAGAAGTCTCCGCAACTCCCAAACAAGCCTCACTTACTGGCCGCAACTAAGGAGCTATCTAGCTCTGGATGAAACTTTCTTTCTTAATTCCTATTCTCTGACGAATAAAGACTTACTGCCTACAAGAGGAGAGGAGGAGGTCATGGCGAGGCTTTTCCAATTGTTCTCAAGGTACTGATCCTAATCCTGACCCAGCTCTGCTGCTATGAGGGCATGGAACAGGTAAGGATTTCCTGGAGGGAAAAGTTCTACAGTAGCACCTCCAAAGATGGGGGAGAAGATAGGTGCCTGTGAGTTCCTGTGGGCCTTGTTCCAGCAAGGTGGCTGTGGGCATGACACTTTCATCCTTACACTCAAGAGAAGAATCTGGCACTTGAGCCAAGTGTTCCTTTCTTCTCCAACTCTTGCTGCCATCCTGAGTGATTTCACTGTTTATGTGAATGATCCAACCAATACTCTGGCCTCACAGTCCCCTGACCCCCTCAACTCATCTTCTCTCCTTCAACTACCTACTCCATGGATTTTGGTATCATCTCCCTGGTCTGACTTCTTAAATGCAAGCATCCAACTGTCTGACCACTGCCCACCCACTACCCCAGTCCTTACAACTCTATATCATCCACTGAATCCCTAGCAGTATGCCTCCATACAGTAGGCATATATGTAGTATTTCCTTTTTTTTTTTTTTTTTTTTTTTTTTTTTTTTTTTTGAGACAGGGTCTCACTCTGTCACCCAGGCTGAAGTGCAGTGGTGCAATCTCAGCTCACTGCAGCCCCGAACTCCTGGGCTTATGCGATCCTCCCACCCCAGCCTCTGTCACAAGTAGCTGGGACCACAGGTGCACACCACCATGCCCAGCTAATTTTCAATTATCTTGTAGAGACGAGGTCTCACTATGTTATCCAAGCTGGTCTTGAACTCCTGGGCTCAAGTGATCCTCCCATCTTGGCCTCTCCCAAAGTGCTGGGATTACAGACATGAGCCACTGTGCCCAGCCCTGTAGTATTTTTTGAATGAACAATATTTGTCGCTGTACAGCATCAAGAGCAGAGTCCTTTGAATGCTCTATTGTCCCCCAATCTATCCTTAGTGTTCTGTCCCTAACTATGTTGGATACTATGGGCCATCTCTTCAGCCACTCTCCATGCAACTACCATAAGCCAGGTACCAGTGACCCAGTGGTAAAGAGACAGACTCATACACTTGCTGCCTTTGTTCCCTTGTTCTTCCATCACAACCACCCAGCAAGATCTAAACCCTGCATAATCCACCTCTCCGTTTTTTGTTGTTGTTGTCTACTACAGAAGTTGCCGATCCCTGCTTGAAGCAGATCTATATTTATCTGCATCCACAGCCACCCTTAAGTCTGTTCAAAGTCAGGGTCGTCTTCTCTGGTACCCTATTCCATCCCACCTTCTCGGGGATGGGCTACTTCAGTCAATTCCTGACTCTTCCATATCGATCTCCTGTCCCTATTAGCTTTTGCCCCACAGTCTATACAATATGCCCAAGTTTTCCTCTCCTATCCCAATTAAACCCTCCCTTGTTCTTATGTCCACCCCTAGTGACCTCTGCCCTTCCCTCCATTCTTACACCAGTGATTCAAAATGAATCTATACTTACTGTCCAGAAGCCTCTCCCTTTGCCTTCTGCTCCAGGCTTTCCCTCTCCATATCTTTCCTCAAGCTGTTATCCTCTTGCCTGCCATGCTTTCCCCAGGCCTCTATCCTGCTGAAGTCATATTTGCCTTTGAGCCAAAAGCTGGAGCCCCATTTTCTCCAAAGAGCTATGCTGATCTCCAGCTCTTCTGTGAACCCAAGATGCCACTCCACAACTACCTAAGCACATTAAAAGACAGAAAAAACTCCAATTCATTTTGCAAATTTAATGTAACTCTGATACCAAAATATGACAGCACACAGAAAGCAAACAATAAAGCAGGAACAGCAAACAGATTTTTCCATCACATGACACCCTTAGCTGATTGGCCGTAGGTGCTTTGACTGCTGTGTGGACAAAGATTCCAAGGATGTACTTTGGCTCCATGGGAAGGACTACTGCAATTTATTAGCGGTGTCTGTAAACATGGGGAATAAATCTGAAAACAAAACAAATAGGAACACATTTTAGCACCAAATGCACTGTCTTCTCATAATTCCTTCATTGCCCTCACCTTTCCACCCCACTCTCCTGCCTTAGTGTTTCTTATAACATCTCCCAGCTCTTATACCCATCCCTGTGGGTCCTGGCTATGGAAATATTGCAGTTACCTGAAACCTCACTAGCCATAGGAGAAGCCACAGGCACCAAGACTGGTGGCTCCACTGCCGAAGCCAGCACTGGTGCTTGGTCCACCACCAAAGCCAGCACCAGTGTTTGGTCCACCGCCGAAGCCAGCTCCTGTGCTCGGTCCACCGCTGAAGCCACTGATGCTTGGTCCACTGCAGAAGCCAACACCAGTGCTTGGTCCACCACTGAAGCCAACAATAGAACTGGGTCCACTATGGAAGCCCGTGCTGGTGCTGGGTTCGCCAATAAAGCCAGTGCTGGTGTTGGAACCACTGCCAAAGCCAATGATGGTACTCAGTCCTCTGTCGAAGCTGGCATTAGGCCTACTGCCAAAGCCATCGCTGGTGCTGAGGCCACCGCTAAAGCCAGCACCGGTGCCAAGTGTGCTGCCAAAACTAGCATTGGTGCCCAGTCCACCACCAAAGCCATCACTAGTGACCAGTCCACCACCAAAGCCAGCACCGGTGCCCAGTCCGCCACTGAAGCCAGCGCTGGTGCCCAGTCCACCACCAAAGCCAGTGCTGGTGCCTGGTCCTCCACTGAAGCCAGCGCTGGTACCTAGCCCACCATCAAAGCCAGAACTGGTGCTTAGATCACCACTGAAGCCAGCACTGGTGCCTAGGCCACCACCAAAGCCAGCACTGGTGTTCAGTCCACCACCAAATCCAGCACTGGTGCTTAACCCGTTGCCAAAGCTGAAACCGGTACTGGTACTGGGTCCATCACCAAAACTAGGGCTGGTGGCACCACTAAAGCAGGCACTGGTGCTAGGAGGGCCACCAAAGCATAGGTTTGTATTAGATGCACTGCCAAAGCAGAGGCTGGTGCTGGGAGCTCCACCAAAACAGAGGCTGGTGCTATGAGCACCACCAAAGCTGACACTGGTGCTGGGAGCAGCACCAAAGCCAATGCTGTTGTTGGGAGTACCACCGAAGTCAGTAGTGGTACTAAGTGCCCCACCGAAGCCAGCACTGGTGTTAAATGCACCGCCAAAGCCAGGGTTGGTGCTGGGTACACCACTGAAGCCAGCACTGGTGCCGACAGCACCACTGAAGCCGGCACTGGTGCTGATGGCACAGCCAAAGCTGGCATTGGTGTTGAGTGCACCACTAAAGCCAGCACTGGTGCTGGGAGAGCCACCAAAACAGACGCTGGTGCTTAGTGTACCACCAAAGTCAGTGCTGGTGCTGACAGCACCACCAAAACCAGCACTGGTGTTGAGCGCACTGCCAAAGCTGACACTGGTGCCAGGAGAGCCACCAAAGCAGACACTGGTGCTTAGTGTACTGCCAAAGTCAGCACTGGTGCTCATAGCACCACCAAAACCAGCACTGGTATTGAGCGCACTGCCAAAGCTGGCACTGGTGTTGAGAGCACCACCAAAGCCAGCACCAGTGCTGGGAGAGCCATCAAAGCAGATGCTTGTACTTAGTGTACCACCGCAATTGGCACTGGTGCTGGAAGGGCCACCAAAGGAGACACTGGTGCTGAGTGTGCCTCCAAAGCCAGTGCTGGTGCAGGGAGAGCCACCAAAGCAGATACTGGTACTGAGTGTACCACCAAAGCTACCACTGGAGCTGGGAGAGCCACCAAAGCAGACACTGGTGCTGAGTGTGCCTCCAAAGCCAGTGCTGGTGCTAAGCGCACTACTGAAGACTGTGTTCGTTGTGGGTGCACTGCCAAAGCTGGTGCTGGTGCTGAGTACACTACTAAAGCCAGCCGTGGTGCTGAGTGTGCCTCCAAAGCCAGAGCTGGCTGCACCACTGAAAGTGGCACTGGTGTTGAGTGGGCCACTAAAACTAGAGCTGACTCCACCACTAAAGCTGGCACTGGTACAAGGCGTGCCACCAAAGCTAATGCTGGCTTCACTGCTGAAACTAGTGCTGGTGCTGGGTGCACCACCAAAGCTAATGCTGGCTGCACTGCTGAAGCTGGAGCTAGTGCTCAGTGTGCCACCAAAGCTAATGCTGGCTGTATTGCTGAAGCTGGCACTGGAGCTGGGTGCACCACCAAAGGTAATGCCAGGTCCACCACTGGAGCTGGGTGCACCATTGAAGCTAATACTAGCACCGTCGCTGAAGCCAGCCCTGGTACCAGCTC